GGCGCTGACTATATGTGAAGTTCGGTGAGTTAATAAAGTTGTTGGAGTGAGACACTGAGACCTCTCCTGTCGTTGTTACATACCTCCACAATACTATATTTCTTCCATAGTGGAACAGTCACTTAGGGATCATTGTGTTGTGTTCATTCATGTGTCCAGTTTTTGTATTGCTTTTTGTTTTTTGGTTCATGCATTAGGTGTGTTGCTCAGTTTTGTTTTACAAAATGTTTGAGCTCATACACGTGTTTTAAACAGGTCGTATGTACATTTAACTCGGTACATGGACTCAATGGGTATTTATGTATTATCATCTGGCTCGTCTTTTTCCAAGGACCAGTCCTGTATTTGCATTTGGGCCCTTTTTTCTGAAACGCCATCTACGCTTGCTAATCCACACAATGACAGGTAAACACACCTGTCGGGCTTAAGATCACAAACACACGTTTGTATTATGACTTCAAGTAGCTGTATTCCTCAAAGTTAAAGTGTACTTTACGATGTCAGTCTTAGTTTTTCTTTTTTTTAGCTAACTTTATTTTTACTTTGATTTGGGGTTTTTTCCACTGTTGTATAGATAGATAGATAGATAGATAGATAGATATACATATATATCTATATATATGTGCCACTTTTTTCAAATGTAATTTTCTCATAAAATCAATTAAACAAACACAAATATATACAGGCAAGTGGCGTGCCGGCACAGCAGTGCAGGAAAAAACGCAATGCAAATTCATCTCCGACTGGTTAGAGAAGTGTTTGTGCTGCTCAAGGACATTTAGTTCACTGCATTGAATGGAGCTGTGACCCTCTGAGGTGATCAGGCTGAGTCCATTGTCTGATTATATTAACAGTAAGCTTAAGTAATGAGATTGTTGCATTTGTGTGCCTTTTTAAAAAGGTTATCAGACTAACTAAATAACTAATAAAACAACTAATCAAATACTGTGATAAATGTGTGGACTACTAGGGATAAAAAGGCGAGAAAGAAGAAACAGTTCTCCTGTGCATCCTTTCACATTATCCAAGCATATGTTAAGCTTAACACTGCATGTACTCCCACTCATTTAAGCTCAT